AATTTTCGTTTTGGAAACAAGATCTTGTTTCTGTTTTCTCTGTGGTTTCACAGTTGTTTGTAGTGCTTATTTACATGTGGCACAGCAGCATCAATCCCAATAACAATCACTTCCAACTTATTTGTAATCCTCCTCGTCAACCCTTGATCTAGCATTTTCAGACAAAACCTCCAGTGCTTGGGTCAGTTAGTTGCTCCATAGCCTTTCCCCACCATGCACCATCCTGCCTAGTTCTTTACTTACATTATTTCTTAATGTCTGTCTCTCCTCCACACTTGCCTCCTCAGCCTCCTCTCCCCAGACCTGTCCTTCTTACTCACCCACCTCCCCCTACCTAAAGTGCCTTCCTTGTCCTTACCTTTAGCAGATCTCTCACAGAATCACAGAGCGGTTGAGTTTGGAAGGGACCCCTCGAGGTCATCTGGTCAAACCCTTCTGCTCAAGCAGGGCCACCTAAAACCGGTTGCCCAGGACCATGTCCAGATGGCTTTTGAATATCTCCAAGGATAGAGACCCCCACAACCTCTCTGGGCAACCTGCTCCAGCGCTCGGCCACCCTCACAGTAAAAATGTGTTTCCTGATGTTCAGAGAGAACTCATGTGTTTCAGTCTGTGCCCATTGCCTCTTGTCCTGTCACTGGGCACCACTGAACAGAGCCTGGCGCTGTCCTCTTTGTACACTCCCTTCAGCTCCATGATGTATATTAATACATATTGTATATACATTAATAAGATCTCCCCTCAGCCTTCTCTTCTCTAAAATAAATCATCCCAGCTGTCTTAGTCCCTGCTAATAGGAGAGATGCTCCAGTCCTTTCATCATCTTTGTGGCCTTTCTTTGCACTCTCTTCAGTATGTCCATGTCTCTTCTGCACTGAGGAGCCCAGAACTGCACACAATACTCCAGGTGTGGCCTCCCCAGTGCTGAGTAGAGGGGACGGATCACCTCCCCCAGCCTGCTGGCACTACTCTGTCTAATGCAGCCCAGGATACCATTCGTCTGCTTTGCAGCAAGGGCACATCGCTGGCTCATGTGGAACTTGGTGTTCACCAGGATCCCCAGGTGCTTTTCTGCAAAGCTTCTGTCCAGCTGGGTCACCCCCAGCATGTACTGGTGCATGGGGCTGTTCCTCCCCAGCCGCAGGACTTTGACCTTCTCCTTGTTGAACTTCACAAGGTTCTTGTCAGCCCATTTCTCCCAGAACAAACACACACCTCACAACATCTACCACTAACTTGCTGCTTGCCAAGGCTTGCAACTTGCTATTTGGGAAATCCCCACGGAAACACTCCTGTGCACCGTGTCGTATACGCATAGTGAGGTGGATGTTCAGAGTGGGCCACAGCTACAGTGTGGTTCAGAGACCATTCATACAGGCCCATCAGCGTACGCCCACCAGTATGCACCGATGTGCTGGACACGTACAGTCAAACTCTCAGACCGCAGCGGCAGATATTTTGCATCAGAACTGCCCATCATCAGACAGTCCTGTCAGTGTTACTGCTCTGACTGCATCGGACTATACACTGCAATTCCAGACCAAGGATAAAGCGGTAATAGTAAATTGGAATATAATATAAATATATTAGGATAAAGTGGATAAACTGGAAATTAATAAAATTTCTCTTCCTTTGTTGGAACAAAATCTCTGGGTGGAAAAAAGAGTTTCCCAGGTGTGTGGAAATGCAACCTACTGTCCCACCCTTAATGTTCACTGTGGCTTTATGCTGTTCACACTCTTAGCCTGTCTCTGCTCTATTTGAACTGAAAGCTCCTTGTAGTAAGGATTTCTCCACTGTTTCCTCTCTCTGCAGTACGAAACTGCCGAGGTGGAGAGGGAAACAGGTTCTTGGTTGATTCAATACTAACACACAATTCACTGTAAACCTTGGACTCCAGAAGACCAGCCTCTTGACTAGTTTGGTTGATGTTGGCCTATAAAATATGGTGTGCAGCTGGTTCCTTCCAACAGAGAGAAGTAATGACATGGGTACACACTTTTGGTCCAGTGCAGTGCTGGAGGTTTATTTTCACTGCGAGATTTACAGAAGCCGTAGTCTCATTTCACCCTCTCCTCTCCCACTCGTAGCACTGGGATGCAAAAAGAGAGGCTGCCGCTGGGAGAAGTCTGTTTATATGTTTCTGGCAGTAAAGAGCAGGCTTCATTGTCCTGGTCCTGCTGGCACCAGACAGTGGAGATGCAGGGAATGGAAATGACATCTGATGCTCAGGAATAGAGGGAAATGGCCAGCTCACCCTCAGAGATCCAAAGACCCAGCATCTGTTGTGACAAAACTTTTGTTGGGAATGATCTCTCACTGAGGATAACTCACCCTTATGGCCAACAAGCCTGTCCCTTTGTGAGGGTGTGGAAGGGGCACGTCTCCGGTCTTGTGCGGAGCTTTGGTTTGCAGGACAACGATCCACTTGTACCGTTGACGAGATGGTTATGAGATGAAAATCTCATAAATGGTAAATGGTATTTATCTAAGAGATTTCTCACAGATCCATGGAGCAGAATATTCACAGCTGGAGGCCTGAAAGTGACCTTTTATCAGGACAGCACAGTGTTGCACGGGGCTGTTATAGGGGATCCTGCAAGAGGCACAGAATAAAAGTGAGACTGGGAGAAAATGCTGAGATTGTCTCCTGGAGGCAAGAAAAAAAGAACATCTGATTTTGAAGGGTGGAGCCCAGAGGAAGTGAAAGAACCCAACCTCCGCGGGCAGCTGTTAGAAAACAAAATGTACACCAAAAAACTGTCGACCTGTGAGATTAAACATCTACGTAATTTTGCCATTGCGGACCCAAATCAGAACCACACACAGACACAATGCCCTGCAGCAACAGTGATATCCACCAGCATGGGAACGACAGTGCTGAGGATTTCGTGGAAAGATGATTGCCTCCAAGGACGTTGTAAGAACAGAAAGCTGGATTTAAGACAGTAACTAAGCCAAGTGCTCAGAGTGCTGACCTACTGACAGTGAGATCTTGAGCATGTTTCCTTGCTGGAGACGTGTTAGAGACTAACTCATTGGATTAACTGCCATAAAAAGGAAAGGGCCAGGCAAAGGCACTGGACTAAATTGTGTTTTCCCTCATGCAGAATGCTGCGTTTTGTCCAAGTAACAATTCAGCCAAAATTAAGGTTCTGACTTGGGTTGGCACCAGCAAAGCATCAGTGGCCTATGTCCTCGCACTCAGTGACGCCAGCACTTGGCAGAATGCGTGCAAGGTGGCTAAACCCAGTAAAGCCAAGATGGACCATATGCTTTTCTGACTGAGCAACTGTGTGGGCAGTGCTGGTGAATAATCTTTGGTCTGAGCAGCTGGAGGGAAGTAGAGAGTGAGATACTAACATTAGCCCTGCTTTTCCCTGGTAGATGCCTTTACAAGGTGCAGGGCAGCAAAAAGTAGGCTTTTTCGAGTTCAGTACCATACACGTGATGGTAAGAACAAAATCTGCCCAGGAAGAAAGCTGCTGAGATCTGGTGCAGGAACTCTGCGTGTTCTGGAACACCAGGAGATCCGAATTAGCGCTGTTGTTTTTAAAACAGAATTAAACTCACTTGGTGCCATTGAATATAGAGCCATCTTCCCAAATCCAGCCAGAGTCTGTGCTGTTCCTCAGTCCAATCCAGAAACATTCTGTTTGAATACTCTTGAACAGGTCCTAGAAATGGTGATGAATTACAAAATGACTAACGAAAACCAGCCTGAAAACAGAGGTAAGGGTAAGTAAAGAGAACAGTGAGCAAGATACATCCCCTCGCCTGCCTGTTCCTTCAGTGGCTGATAATACTGCTTCTCCACACCTTCTCATCAGGAAGATCAGCCCTGCGGATCATGCCTGCAATAACGACTACGCGTGTGTACACTCACAAGGAAGTAAGCCTGCTTTCAAGGGTCCTGGGCAGATTCTTCAAAGGACATTTCTCAGGGAAATATATGCGAACCAACTGCACCCCAGCCTCCTGGAGTTTCCTATGCAAAGCTTTATGTAGGAACGTATGCTATGAGGGTGAATATTAATGCTCTACCATACAGCTAGCTAGCAAGCTAATAATACAAAGTATTAACCATTAAAGGTAAAATCAGGTCAGGGCAGGAAGTGTGGGCACCGACAGATCTGTGTAAAGAGCCCAGGACCAAAGCACAATAAATTTTTTACAAACTTTCCTCCTACGTGTTTTCAATGCTCATTTCCTTTTGCCTAACCTTTAACTCTTAAAAGGTGAAGCCTGCAACAGAAAGTCAGCCCTGAAGTAAATCCCCCCCAAAAAAGACAAGAGAGAGGTTTGTAATGAAACCCAACAAAGGAACATTTCAGTGGTATGGCCGGGCCCCATCCTTATCCCCGGCTGCCATAAACAAAGCTTCAGAGCAGTGTCTTCACACAGAAGCATTAACAAAGCTGGCTTGGTAAAGTGGTGGGAAGAGGAGTAGCTTGAGGAACGCTTGAGTGTTGCTGGAGGTGACTGTGCTTCCCTGGTAGGTAAAGGGAGGTCGAACCATCACAGCCTTTGCAGCACAGGGCACGTATAACTGGATAGCTGGGAAAGTCTTGCTTATGTGGGGAAGTCTGAGCAGGGATAATGGGTGACACTCTGGTAGCAGAGACAGTAGTAAGAAAGGAGCCGACCAGGGAGGCTTTCTTCATGCAGAGAAATGGGTAATATGGGGAAGATGAGTATTTCCCAAGGAATCAGGATTTGCCTAAGAAAGTGTGACAGCCTGGTAGGCACTCACAGTCGAGCAGAGATCCGGCTTTCCAAGCCCCCCCCTTCTGTCCAGGGACTGGAAGCTGTCCACGTTCATTGGACCTCAGCTAATAAGCCCTGGCTTGTGTGAAACCAGATCAAGTCCTTCTGCTCTAATTAGGCAGACGTGCCTCACCTCCCTAGTGATCAGCTCTAGCCATTCCTTTAGTGGTCATATGTGCCCCTGCCCCCAGTGAGCACCTGCCAGAAAATGAGCAGTGGAACAGAGGGTTCCTGATTTCACCAGCGCAACTAAGGGGTTTCGGCGGAGAGGGGAAGTAAGCATTGAAAACAGACTGAGAAACAAATGTTTGTGCATGAACACAGGGAGTGGCAAGGTCACTGAGCAGGAGGAGCTGGAGCGGTTGCAGGGAGGAGAGCCATCGCTTTTGCAAAGGCAGCATTTCTGGGGAGCGGGGATGTATTGGTTTGTAGGCAATGAGTACAGAGAATGCACGGTGCCACAGACTTTTCCTGGGATCATTCATATCAGCTTTGTTGGGGCTTTGTTCATATCATTCATATCAACTTTGTTGAGGGAAGGTGGAGAGGGGCAGTGGAGAAGGTTGTCTCCTAACATCCCTCATAGAATGATTCTGAGTAGCTGACAGAGACCCTCACCTCTCCCTTCTCCCCTTTGTTTCTTTGCCTGCTGGGAACTTCTAAGGTGTATACTGAAACTGGAAGTGCACTATAATGTTGCAGCCATAAATCCTTCCTCTCCTCAAGTATTGCCAGAGTGACACAACTGCTTGGATGTCAGTCACTGAGGTATCTGCAAGGAAATGGAAGATCCTCAAAGAATAAGAAAACCATTACCATTTCACTGGTATCGCTGACCACCAAGAGATGAGCTCCCTGTGCCCGGCAGTATTCCTGGCTGGCATTCCAGTCTTTCTTCTCCTTGGAAAAGGAGTAGCAGCTCCCTCTGTAGGCCACCCACTGCTCAGGGCAGCGTGGACATGGACAGGCTGCAAAACAATCACACATCTCTCTTCCCATTCATAGTCATAGCCATCACAAACACATTTTGCAAATGCACCCTTTCCAGAAAATGATTCTCCACTCTTACAGTAATGCCATCCCTGGAGCTCTTCTGAGACCGGCAAAGACAATGTAATTGCCTGCATCAGAGTCTCTGAAGGGCTGTGTGAAGGGCATCCATTTTCCATATGGGAATAAGTAGGATAGTGCATAGGGGTATCTTGGGACCTTCCTTTTCCTTCCCAGTGATTCTGCCTTTTTGTTTCTCCCTCCCTTTGTTTTTGTTCTGTCTTCTCCATATAAACTTTGTCTTGGACCCATATTTCCTTCTGTGCAATGGGATGGGCAAAGCCCTGGCACCCTGACAAGTATGCGGCAGGTCACCCATTTCCATACAGCCTCCACCACTAGTGCTGGCTGCTGCTAGGGCACATCCTGGAGCACATTTCTAAAGTACTGCTGCACCATAGCATTTCACAGCAACCTGGTCATAAGGATTAAACTTCCTAGGAACAGGAATCATTGTATAACAGCTGCCAGTCATGGAGGTCTTGCAGTTTGAAGCACCCTCCTTTTTCTTCCTAACAGGAGAGCAGCTGATGCTACTAGCCCATGGATGGTCACGGAATATGCAAGGATTCATTCTCTCACTGTACAGAACTGATCTCCAAATCCACAGAAAAGAAATTGGCTTCCAGTTTTTCCAGCCTAGAGCTGTATTCATCAGGATGTAAATATTCCTGAGTGGCTGAGCACGCAACACAGTGTTCTTGCTATGCACTGAAGTCTACCCAGTCACCCTTTCAAAGGCATCTCTGATACCCTTTACCCTTTACTCTCTTGTTCATGCTGAGGGCAGGTCTAACTAGACCAACTTAACACTTAAAACTCTCAGAAAAAAAGAAGTAAGTCTTTTTTAAGAGAGATAATGTACTTCCATGCTTTTCTTGGACCCCTGAGCAGATTTCAAGAGCTCTGTTTTGCTCCCTGACAAAGTTCTAAATCAAATCAAATATTTTCAATGGAGGAGATTTATTTACCCTTGATAATAAAACCCACTGTTGTTCCCAGCAATGCCAAGAAGAGGGTCCCTAGAATCACTGCAATAATCCAGCAGGTAGCACATGACACAGCAGAATCTAGCAAGAAGAAAAAGAACATAAATGTGAGAAAGGTGAGGCTTTCTCAATGGGATCAGCTCTAAAAATGCAACTTATATTAAACTGTAGTGTCTGTTTACCTCAGCCTGCACTCATGTCAGAGTCCAATACTCTCTGACCAGGTTCTTTTCGATATTCCACACATGGCTAATCCAATGTTTAATACCCAATTCACTTATTTGAAGATATGTGATGTTACATGGGATTCTGATTTAGCAGAATGGTACCGCTATGTGTTGAAAGCACAACACATGCAAATTACAATTAGCAGAATATAGGAATTTCAATATACAGCTGAATAACAATGCAAATGTGATTTTCATTGCCAGGCTCTATGATGTGCTTACCATCGCAACCCTGGGTGGCACCAGGAAGGAATATGTGGGTTTAAGCAGCTCAAGCCAGTTGCTCTCTTCAAAACTCTTTTTGTCGGTTGTTCAGTGGTTGTACTCTGTGTTAGGCTGAGCCACGTATACACTCCCCCCATGCTGGTCTGGCTAACCCAGGAAGACATTCACACTCTTTTGATTAACTTATGGACAAAAATTTGCACAACCGACTAATCGCTCAACTGGTGCAGCCAGTTGATCCACCCAACTGATGCAACTGTTAATCTAAAAAAAAAGCTACCTCTCTGGTCCCCTTAACATTAAGTTCAACCTTCTTTTGACAGCCATGTTTAATCAGTGCATACTTCATGAGCACATTGCACTTGCCCATCTCCTTTAAGCCTTCTCCCGTTGTAGAGGCTTATTGACCCGTTACTACTCAGGATTACACCTGAAGAGAAGTCCAAATATAATGACTGTTTTGATATGGCATCAACAGAAATAGACCACACATTACTTACTGTGTTGGAGCTGCAAGTCTCCAACTTTAAACTGCCTTGAACTGCCCATCCTTCCTAACTTTAAACAGCAGGATAGAAAAGAAAAATTTTTATCATACAAATGCAAATCTCTAATTCAGTCATGAAATCGGTTAGGCTGTTTATTCAGTAATGCACACAACTTTCTCATTATGAACAGACTTTACCTTTGTTCCTGATGTTCTGGTTCTCCTCTGTTCTTTGTCTTCTCATCATCTTTTTCTTGGAAGAAGTGCTGTGTTTCACATTCAGATAGATGTGCTTGTCTTCATTCCCATCACATGCTTTTAAGTTTTGCTTTTTTTCACTTTTCTTTACTTGGAATTTAAAAGTCCAATTAGTTACAAAGTCTAGGTCTGGATCTGAATTTCCCTGAAGGTCAATAGAGCTTTCCTTCCAGCAATTTGGAGTCATTTCTAACAACAGAGCATATTATTAGCAAAAGAGTAATACTTAGAAGGAATCAGCTTTCTAGAATATAAAATAGTTTAAGAAATGACTATATCTCATTAAGAGCTCTATCTTTTGTGATTAAATTGCTGCTATGACGGATGCTAGGTAGATCAATGTTAGACAGGGGATCTTGCTTTCACAGGGAAGCAAAATTATCTAGCATTCTCCACATCAACTAATGTAAGTAAGAAACCTAGGCTTGACTGAGATGACAAAGGTGAGGTAATGAATTTCCTCATGTAGCAAATGGATAGACATGGGTAATTCTAGTGGCACAATTTACAGAACGCATTTCTCTTTCACTGCAAGCACCATCAATAAAAATAATACAGATGCATTTGATCTATATCAATGACATACTGATTTAAAAACAAAAGGGTTTTGAGCATTTAGACAAGAAAATTGGTGGGAGGTTACCTTAATTCCACAGGAGGAAGCTGAAATGTAATAGCAGAACAAGCGATGCATCTGTCTTGGCTTCCATATGTGGCTGCAGCATGACAAAGCGATCATTAACCTCAGACTGAAACAGGGCAACTGAGAGATGAGAAAAAAGTGCTGTGGTGACCCACACAGGAGACTTGCATTCTTTTACCCCAGCACAAAGCTTTACCCTTTCAGGCGTATAGTGACAGATCCTGTGCCTGCCATGGTCATGCCAAACTCTGTTTGAGCTAATTGTAATGTCATATTCACTGTGCAAGAGAATACATTGAACAAGTTGAACATGTAGAATCCATTACTAGAATCATAGGTTTTTACTGCCAGTTCTTTTCCTACAAGAACAACTTCTCAGATCTGCCCAACAATATCAGTCTTTCCACACAACTCTTTGATCTGTGTAGAAAAAAGTTGCTCACGCCTGCTTTACAGATAGGTTGGGACTCAGCTTCAGATGGAAAAGAGAAATTGTAGTACCTTCTGAACAGAAGAGGACTTCACAAATCACTCATTTTGTTAATTCTGAGAATTAATCAAAATCTGGAAACATAATTCTATGAATATTTGCATAATTCTTTTCACTTTATAAATTACCAGGAACATATACCTTTAATTTCAAAAGATAAAAATAATTTCCATCTCTTTTTTTTGTTTGTTTCTTTCCCCTTCTTTTTCTTTTTACTCCGTTTCTTTTTAAGGGCCTGGAAAAGAACTAGCTGAGGATGTGAAGTTTGAGGTTAGGCTTGGCTGCAGTAACCATGAGATGGTGGAGTTCAAGATCCTGAAAATAAGGGGCAAAAAGTGAAAAGCAGACTCACAACCCTGGACTTGAGGAAAGGAGACTTTGGCCTGCTCAAGTATCTGCTTTTGAGCATCTTATTGCCATCAGTCCTGGAGAGAAGAGGGGTCCAGTATAGATGGTTGTTTTTCGGCTCCTCTGAACTCAAGAATTCTCCATCCCAATGAGCAGCATACAAAGCAAATCTGGCAGTGGGCCTGCATGGATGAGCAAGGAGTTCCTCACTAAACTCAAACATAAACAGGAAGTATACAACAGATTAAAGCAGAGTCAGGTGACCCAGGAGAAATCCCCTGATTTGCAGGGATGGGGTTGGGAAAGCCAAAGCCCGCCTGGATTTGAATATGATAAGAGATGTGAAGGATAATGAGAGAAGTTTCTACAGGTACATCAGCAAGACAGAAACTATGAAAAAATGTGGTCCTGCTGCTGAATATGTAGTGGAGCTGGCCACAAAGACATAGAAAAGGATGATACACTCCGTGACTCAGTGCTTTCTTTGTTTCCGTCTTTGGTGATGTGACTTGCCTCCAGCAACCTCAGGTCTATGAAAACTATGAGAAGGTCCAGTGCAAGGTAGACTTATCCTTGGTGGAGAAGGATCACATTAGGGAGCATTTAAACAAAAAGTACATAAACAAGTCCATGAGCCCTGATGGGACACACCACAAGTGATGTAGGAGCTGGCTGATGTCATTGCGAGGCCACTCTCAATAACCTTTGAAAGGTCACAGTGATCAAGAGAGGTCCCTGAAGACTGGAAGATAGCAAATGTGACTCCTGTCTTCAAGAAGGAGGATCCAGGAAACTACAGGCCAGTCAGCCTGAGATCAGCCCCAGGGAAGCTGGTGGACCAACTAATCCTAGAAACCATTTCCAGACACATGAAGGACAAGAAGGTGATTGGGGAACAGTCAGCATGGATTTACAAAGGGGAAAACATGCCTGACCTACCTGACAGCCTTCTACGATTAGGTGACTTGCCCCATGGATGAGGGGAGAGCTGTGGTTGATATTTATACTGGTTTTTGACACTGTCTTCTGCAACATCCTCACAGACAAGCTGATGAAGTACGGAGCTGGATAAGTAGACAGTGAGGTGGATTGAAAACTGGCTATATGGCTGGGTCCAGAGGGTTGTAACCAGTGGCACAAAGTCCAGCTGCAGGTCAGTTTCTAGAAGCATGCTTCAGGGATCAATACTGGATGTGGTAGCGTGTAACATCTTTATTGATGACCTTGACAATAGGGCAGAGTTCACCCTCAATAAGCTCTCAGATGATACAAAACTGAAAGGAGTGACTGATACACTAGGTGGTTGTCCCAGCATTCAGAAAAAACTAGACAGTCTGGAGAAATAGCCGGAGAGGGACTTCATGATGTTCAATAAAGGTAAATGTGAAGTCCTGCACATGGTGAGGAACCAGAACTAGTACACAGAGGGGGCCAACTGTATGGAAAGTGGCTTTACAGAAAAGGACCTGGGGATTCCTGGCAGATACCAAGTTGAACATGAGCCAGCAACGTGGCCTCGTGGCAGAGAAGGCCGACAGCCTCCTCGGTTGTGTTAGGCCGAATGCTGCCAGCAGGTCAAGGGAAGTGATCCTTCCCCTCTACTCAGCACTGGTCAGGCCATGTGTTGAGTATTGTGTCCAGTTCTGAGCTTCCCTGCACAACAAGGATGTGGACTTACTGAAGCAAGTAGCAAAGGGCCACTAAGATGATTTAGGGACTGAAGCATCTTTTGTATACGAAGAGACGGTGATAGTTGGGACTGTTGAGCCTGGAAAAGACAAGGCTCTGGGGGATAGCTTTTTCTTTTTTCTTTTTTTTATTTTCATTTACAGTGAGTGTGGTCAAAATTATTTTCACAGAGACATGGTACAGCCTCCATTTTTTAAGATACTCAAAAGCCAACTGGACAGTGTCCTTAGCAACTTGCTGTAGTTGACCCTGCTTTGAGCAGGGTGTTGATGATCACCAGAGCTGCCTTCCAATCTCAACTATTATGTGATTCTGTAACAAGTAGTGAAATTTCAGTATGAAAGAGAAGAAGTTGAGGGCTGAATGGAACAGACAGCTGATTCCTCTACAGCAGCTTTGGAGAGGCAAGTAAGCTCTGCCCCACCTTCCAATACAATATATCTTTGTCTACTGGAAGGGACTTCCTGAACTTAGTAAGTTAAAATAGATGTTAGTGTGCTCTGTCTTATGATGTTTATGAGGTCTAAAAGAGATTTGTCCCAGCCTCCACATCCCAAAGATCCCCTTCTCCTCCCTCACTCCACTTCATGCCACCTGTGGTTCAAGGGGCTGGTGGATCCATGCCAGCTTCAGGGACAGTTCTGCAGGACTGAGCTGCAGGATGCTGCTGACCCGTTTCCATAGAAAAAAATCAGAGTTTTGGCTTTTGATATTTCAAACTCAATCAGACAGAGCACGAGCAACTATAATGTAAAAACATCTTTCTGGGGGCAAAACAAGCTAGTACAGTTCTTCCCAGAAATTACACCGTGCACTGTAACTCACAGGTTCAGAATCAATTTTGCACACAGCAGAGAACACGTCTTTTCTGGGCAAAGAACTTTAGCACTGTTTTACAAATCTGTGGTTCCTTGTGGGCAGGATTTTGAAACAAGCATCAGACCTATCATGTTCCCCAGCAAACTGGATCTAAGTTCTGCCCCCATGCCCCTGAGCTCTTCATTTTGCTGCTGTAGCTGACCACATATTCTAGGGTAGGTTAAAACATGGATGTATCTAAAAATTTAAATGCAGAATGCAGGATTAAATTTAATAAAAGGCTTCATTTTTATATTTCAGTATAAGAAATTAAGTTATTAAGCTTATTTAAACATAACTAATCAAACTAAAGTAGTCCTCTAACTTGTAGCTGGCATATACCTGTGCAGGAAGTACACATTCAAAAAAACTTGGGTTACAGCTTGCATCTGGCTCCTCTTTCTTGTCATGAACAATAAACCACAGCAAATCCACACTTTGAAAAGATAACACCAGCTTACAGGAAATGCTTCTTCTGAAGGCATTAGCTTCAACCAGACAGGAAGCGTTAGCTTCACAGAAAGCATTGTTGCCTGATATATTGGTCATAGGAGGGAATGAATATAAGGAATGAATTAATAAGAAGAAAGGCAACAAGGAAGATCTGTATAATGCCATACATATGTCATAATGCCACTTCTTTGTGTGTTTCAGCAGATATGCCTGTATTGCAAAATGTCCAGAGGTTAAGACCTTAAGCCAAACACTGTTCTGTTTCTGTTTTATTTGTTTGTTTGTGGGCGGTTCTTGCTGCCCTAGTTTTTGGTTATCTCAGACTCAAGACTTCTCATGAAAATATAGAAATACAATTAATAAAAATAAACTCATGTAAACAGAGGAGCATACATTTTTTATAGTGTAAATTTCCACAATGTACATTACTGCTCCTACCTCTTCACCTTATCTTGAAGACAGGTTGTGGTGAAGAGCTGAGGCCTGCAGCTCAGCTGTGTACGTACAAGATTTCATACAGGCCATTGGTACAACAAAGAAAGGAACAGATGACCATGACCTGACAAATATTTAACTGCTTTCATTCTTATTACAGTGATTCCGGTGAAAAGTAATGAAAGTTTTCTCCAGTGGCAACAGCTCTGCTATAACCTTTCCACATCAAAGTATTTTCTTCTTACCTACCCAAGTCCCATACATCTCCTCCATGTACCGAGTTTTGAAGTGCTAATCGTAGGAAACTGATGAAACCACTTCTGCTCACGTTTACACTAAAATCCTTGTGCCGGGTGCTGGGGGGAGAGTGCTTGAGACTTCCCCCCGCCTGGGGTGTGTGGGCTGTGCCTACGTAATTCCCTAGCAAGCTCTGAGCTGCACCAGCCCATGAGTAGGAGGCCCTGGTGTTGTGGAGACTTGTA